AACATTAATGACAGGGTTTCATGCATACGGTGTTCCAGCCCCACGCCCTCCACCACACCCTCCACCTGAATGTCTGCCTTCCTCCACCTTTGTGAAGGTATATCCTCAGAGTATCCTCCTAACCACCCTACCCCCACACCCCCTGACTTGGTAAGCTCAGTTTTGTAAGGGGGTGTAATTTTGATAAAGTCTAATTTTGTTTTGTTTGGGGGCCACAACCAGAGGCTTACTCCTGACTCTGTGCTCAGAGATGACTCCTGGCCATGCTTGGGGGACCACAGGCTAGGTATTGAACCAAGGTCAGCTATGTGCAAAGCAATCGCCTATACTCCCATACTATCTTCGACCCTATGAATCTTAATTTTTTCATTTATTTTCTCTTATGGTTCATGGGACTGGAGCAATAGCACAGTGGATAGGGTGTTTGCCTTGCAGGTGGACGATCCGACTTCAATTCCTCCGCCCCTCTCGGAGAGCCCAGCATGCTACCAAGAGTATCTTGCCCGCACGGGAAAGGCTGGCAAGCTACCCGTGACGTATTCGATATGTCAAACACAGTAACAAGTCTCACAATTTGTTATGAGACATTACTGGTGCCCGCTCAAGCAAATCGATGAACAATGGGAAAACAGTGCTACAGTGCTATGACTCATAATTCCAGTGCTATATCTAAGACATCTTTGCTTAACTCAAGACCACAGAGAACTTGTCTATTAGTTTCTCAAATGGAACTATTAATGAAAAATCAAATTATATCGTTTTGGCATAGGGTCGATTTTACTTATTTTGACCTATACTTTTTAATAGTACATCTTTTACTCTCTATTTTGGTACATTGGTCTGCATAGTTAACCTTTAATCAGCTCCACATTGTATTGATTATTACTTGATTATTGTAATAAATATTTTTCTAACTTTTGAGATCACACTCGGCAAAACTCAGGGGTTCCTCCTGGCTCTGCACTTAGAAATCATTCCTAGTGGTGCTCAGGGGACAATATGGGTTGCCAGGGATCCAATCTGGGTCAGCATGTACAAGGCAAATGCCTTCTCCACTCTACTATCCCTCCAGCCCCAATGATAATAAATCTTAAAATCAAGTAGTCTGAGTCCTCCAAGTTATTTTCTCAAGAATTTTTTAACCTATGTATTTTCTGTGTTCATAAATACTGTAAATAAACTTCTTAAGTTCACAAAATCTTGCTGTGCTTTTTCTGTCCTGTCACTGTCCTGTCCTCCCGTTGTTCATTGATTTGCTTGAGCGGGCCCAGTAACTTCTCCACTGGAGACTTTTGTTGTTACTGTGTTTTGCATATCGAATACATCACGGGGAGCTTGTCAGGCTCTGCCGTGAGGGCGAGATACTCTCGGTAGCTTGCTGGGCTCTCCGGGAGGGGCGGAGGAATCGAACTCTGATCGGCCATGTTGGCTGCTTGCTAGGCAAACACCCTACCACTGTGCTATCGCTTTTTTTTTTTTTTACTGAATCACCGATAGCACAGTGGGTAGGGCGTTCGCCTTACAGGCGGCCAACATGGCGGACCTGAGTTCGATTCCTCCGCCCCTCTCGGAGAGCCCGGCAAGTTACCGAGAGTATTCGATATGCCAGACACAGTAACAACAAAAGTCTCCAATGGAGATGTTACTGGGCCCGCTCGAGCAAATCGACGATCAACGGGAGGGCCTTTACCTTTACCTTTTACCGTTTCCCTGTGAGATACAGTTACATAGCTTTCCCAATTTTCAGTCATACAATGTTCCAACACCCATCCCTCCACCAGTGTACATTTCCCAGAACCAATACCTCCCTGTACCTCTCCCGCCACCCCCCTTGCTGTGCTTTTAAGTGAGAGTTCATCAAACATATAAATTAGTTTGGGAAGAATAGACATCTTATCAATATGAGTCTTCCGATCTATGGGTGTGGTCGTCTCTGCATCTATTTAGTTCTTCTCTAATCCCTTTAATCAGTGGGGTAGCACTGTAGCACTGTCCTCCCGTTGTTCATTGATTTGCTCGAGTGGGCCCAGTAATGTCTCCATTGTGAGACTTGTTGTCACAGTGTTTGGCATATCAAATGCATCACGGGTAGCTTGCCAGGCTTTGCCATGCATGCGGGCAAGATACTCTCGATAGCTTGCCAAGCTCTCCGAGAGGGACAGAGGCATCAAACTCGTGTTGGCCGCGTGGGCCGCGTGCAAGGCAAACCAAACGCCCTACCCGCTGTGCTATTGCTCCAGCCCATCAGTGGGGTAAACATGCATAAATTTGTTTACCTGCATGTTTATGTACATTATGCCCCTTTTTTTGTCCTATTGTAAACGATACAACTTTCTTTAGCTCAATTTCCGATTATTTGCTCCTAAACTGTAACCCATAACCTGGTAAAACTTGAGTATTAGTCCTAGCATCTATTATTTCTTTTTGAGGGAATCTTCTATATAAATAATCACTTTGTATCTGAATAAGATCAATTGTATTTTTCTCCTACTCTGTATATTTTTATTTATTTTTCTTACAATATGGCATTGCTTATGAATTTCAGAATGATGTTAAAAAGGCAGCATTATTGTAGGAACAGCATATATTTTTACCTATCCTCAACCTTAAAAGAAAAACATTAAGACTCTCACCGTTAAGCTTGTTCGCTGTGGGTCTTTGGAGATGAGCTTTTCAGGTCAGGAAAGTTTCCTTCACAGGCGACTTGATAGAAACTATGGTACATATACACAATGGAAAACTATGCAGTTTTAAGAAAAGATAAAGTCGTGCAATTTGCTGCAACATGAATGGATCTGGAGAGTACCATACTGAGTGAAATCAGCCAGAGGAAGAGAAACAGACTCAGAATGATCTCTCCCATATGGGGGAATATAAAGAAACCTCACAGCAGAATACCAAATATCCAATGGCAATAGAAAAGAAGAGCAGAACTGGTCTTCAGTTGGAAGGTTGGCACTGGGGCAGGGGTGAAGGGATAAGTTAGGGAAGGGAACACAAGGATAATGGAGGAGGAGAAAAGTGCCTGCCCCAGAGGCAGACTGGGGGGTCAGAGGGGAAACTGTGGACACTGGTAGAGGGAAGTGGGCACTGGTGAAGGGATTGGTATTGGAACAATATATGCCTGAAATTCAATCATAAATGTCTTTGTAACTTTATAATTCATAGTGATTCAATAAAAAGGGGGGATGAAAAAGAAAGTTTCTTTCCATGCTTAATTTTTTATGCTTCTAATTATGAATCAATGTTGAATTTTGCCCAAACATCTATTGAGATGATATCTTTTTCTACAACCTCAATATGAAGAATACATTAGTTAATGTATCAATCTTGGTATCAATCTAATGCTGGCCTCCTAAAATAAGATTGAAAGCACTCCTCTTCTATTCGATGAATCATTATTATTTCTGAGTTGATCCTATATATCTTTCAGTGCCTGGAAACTTCTTCCCCCCAGCCCCCCCGGAGGCATTAGGTATTACCCCACGGATCAAGACATGGGCAACTCTGAGAAGAGCTAGCCTCATGGATTGTTACCCTGTCCCCCAGGGTCTGACTGATGACATTGTTTCCTTCCCATGAGCATGCCCCTGCATTTCTCAGTGCCACCTGCTGCAACCTCCAGCAAGAGAACAAGGCTCAAAACCCAGCCAAGAATTTGAAAACTTCACTAAGAATTTAAAGTGGAGGTGGAATGTGTAGAAAAGAACTTTTTCTGAGTTGTTTGAAGCCATCTCTCCTGAGCCTGAGTATCACCTGCGTGCACCTAGACCCAACCCAACTGAAACTATCAAGTCTTAAGCCACAAGAGTCCCTTTCTGCTGCCCAACCATTCCAGAGCTCGTAGGAAGTCCTTGTCAGGTCTATATTTCTGTGGAGAAGGGGCAAAAATCATCTTTACAACACTGGAAAGAGGTGCCCTGAGGCAGGCTGCTGTGCAGAGAAGAGAAGGCCATTAACCCTGAACATGCTGGGGACTGTCTTTGGAGGAGGGAGGGTGCACATTCTGGGACAACAGTCACTGTTGACTTGGAGAACACTTTGCAGTTCTCTGAGGGTTTTCTCAGACCGGCTTCTTCAGCTTTGCTGAGAGTCTGACCACCACCCCCCCAGACCCACTAACCACCCCCCACTCCAATACAGGGCTTCTGGGAGACCAGGCAGGGGTCAGGCTGAGGGAACTCTGCATTGGAAGCTCAAAGGCGGAGGAAACACAGCCTGGAAGTAGCTTGGGGGCTTTGAGAGGTTACCAGGGCTTGGGCGGCTGCAGAGGGGGTTCTGGAAAGGGGGTTGTGGAAAGGGGGTTCGGAAACGCTGAGTTCTGGTGATGTCTACAGCTCCAGAGTGTCCTTCTGGGGAGCCCCCTTGGCCCTCCACTCTGGCTCGGAGAATCCTGTCACTGAGCACAGCCCCCCTGCTCGCCCCTCCCCACATGCCCTCTGGGGGTCCTGGCCAGAGCGGCTGGAGTCGGGGTGGGGCCAGCAGTCTGTGGGAGATGCTTCTAAAGAGTGGATTTTGTTCTAGAGCAGAGAATTGCCCCAGACTCCCCCAATCCGCGTCCCCGCTGCATTTCTCCTGGGATTTCCCAGCCCCCTGCCAACTTCCCACCTCGCCTCGCTCCTCCCCCGCCCGCGCTTCGCCGGGAAGCGCCTCTCCTTCCACCTTCCCTTTTCAGGCGCGCCCCGAGGGAGCCCCCGTGGGCCACAGCTCCGGGCCACCCACCCACTTGCGCCAAAACCCGACAGAAAACACGCGTCGCCCGTGCTCAGTTGCAAATGAGGTTTATTGTACAGACACCGAGACCGCTGCAGCGCTCAGCGGGGAGAGCCAGCGAGAGCCAGGCTATGTACACAGAAACACAATCCCGGGGGGAAGCCGAGGCGTGGGGAAGGGGGTCCCGGGTGTGGCGGGGGAGGGGTGGGGGTGGCAGCAGGGGGCAGTGCGCGGTAACAGGAACTCTCCGCTCCCGAGCGGGGGGCGTCCGGGGGGTCGCCGGGTCTTTATCGGAAGGAGAAGGACACGCTGGAGCTGTAGGCTTCGCCGGAGCTCGACTTCTCGGAGCTGAAGCCCCCCTTTCCGGAGCCGCCCCTGGAGCCGCCGCCCGAGCCGGAGCCGCCTCTGGAGCCGCCGCCCGAGCCGCCGCCGGAGCCGTAGCTGCCGCCGGAGCCGCCTCTGGAGCCGCCGCCGGAGCCGGAGCCGCCGCGAGAGCCGCTGCCGGAGCCGCCGCCGGAGCCGTAGCCGCCGCCGGAGCCGCCGCCGCCCCTGGAGCCGGAGCCGCCTCGGCTGCCTGAGCTGAAGCCGCCGCCGGAGCCAGAGCCTCTGCCGCCGCCGGAGCCGGAGCCTCTACCGCCGCCGCCGCCGCCGCTGCCGAAGCCCGCCTTGGATGCCACGTTGGAGGAAACGGTGCTGCTGGTCACCGCTGGGGAGGGAGAGAGAGAGAGACCCCGCGTGAGCCTCCAGGATCCACGAGCCTCGGCAGCCCCTCCCGCCAAGGACAGGGCAGGGCAGCAGCCCGCGACTTACAGATGCTCACGTTGCTGCTGAGGTCGCCAGACATCCTGCAGGGAAGGGGAGACAGTTGCTGCTGCGGCCACCGGAGGAGAGCGCCCGATGCCCGCTCCCTGGAGCCCTCCCAGCGCCCTCCAGCCGGAACCCAGATGCATCAGTCCTATTTACTCTTCCTGGGCTGCTTTTGCAAGCTGAAGGTGGGAGGCAAGGCCTCCGGAGAGTCCCCGAGTACTGCCCCCCAGCACAAGGCTCCCCCATCTCTGGGCTCCCTGCCAGCCGCTTCAGTCAGACCAAACCACCCCAGAGACACTGACCAACATCTCAGACCCCAGAGGAAGGAGTTCCTCTCTCAGGAAAGGGGGTGGGTGCACATGGTTCTGTTTTTCTCTCCAGAAACCCACACCTGCCCTGAGTGAGTGGGTATGCCTCAGCAGCTGACACGTTCTAGCACCACAGCTCCTCTGTCTGGGGCACCAAGTGGAAAGAGTAGAGGCCACATACCCCCTCACCCCAGACCCAGAGACCCGGGTGGGTATCGGGCAGTCTAGGACTGACCCATTTTAGCAGCTTTTGCAATCGCAGCCCAGTGGATTGAAGGACAATTTGTTCTATTAGTCACCTTACATTGATAGATCTACAAAGGCACAAAAATGCTTCTTTCTACATCTCTGCCGAAGCAACATCGTGTCATCAGCTCTCAGCCTTCGGGGCCCTGCCCCTCCCTCCTGGCCCTGTCTCCTCCTGCCATCCTCGTTCTAAAAGAGCAGGGAAGTATCCAGGTGCCTTCTGCCCATCAAGCCCCTCACCGGCACTCCTCGCCCTCCAGCAGTTTGCGGTAGGTGGCGATTTCCATGTCCAGGGACAGCTTGGTGCTCATCAGCTCCTGGTAGTCACGCAACAACCGGGCCAGGTCCTCCCGGGCCTGCTGCAGGGCTTCCTCCAGCTCAGTGAGCTTGTTCCTGGCATCCTTGATGGCATTCTCTCCCCTCTGCTCAGCATCGGCGATGGAGTCCTGCACGCTCTTGCACTAGGAGAGAAAGAGACCAGGTTTCTGCTTGAATACAGGAGCTCTGCCTGGCAGAAGGGAGGAGGGAGCAGGAAGGCGGAATCCTAGCCCTGGCAGTGTGCCCCCATTCCCAGCCTCCAGAATTAATGCAAGTCATAAACAACTGGGCTAAGGCTTGCTGTGGCCCCTGGGGCATCATGGGGTGCAGAACTAGAGTCATGAGCCCATCTCTGCTTCACTAACTACTGAGAGCTTGCAGGCTTGACTCTCTGGCCTGGGTCATTTCTTCCGAAGTGAGTCTCCAACTCTGTCCCCACTCCTGGCACCCCTCACTGACTCTGCACCACCCTGCTGGCTGGTACTTGGAACCCGGGCCCAGCAAAACTGAGATGCGACAGTGGCAAATCTGGGGTGAGTTCACTGCCTTCTTGCTTTGTTGGCTACTCTTCCCTTCCTCCCCATGGATGTTAATAGGTAGTGAACCAGGGGACATTCTCAAAATCGGGGCAGACCTTACATTCTGTGAAGTGGGAGCAACAGAAGCTAGATTCGAGTTTCTCAGTATGACTTCAGATACACATACATGCCTCCACACCTTCTTAGCCCAGCTGCCACCCAACATCTAAGGGACTAAGGGGGAGGAGAGTGGAAGCTGCACTAGCCCTTAGGGGTAGCTAAGGGCTGCTTCTTACCTGCTTCTTCACGTGGGCGATCTCCCCTTGCAGTCTCTGAATCATGCGGTTCAGCTCACTGATCTCCATCTTGATCTCTTTCAGGCTGTCTCCATGTTTCACTGCCGTCACCTGCAGCTCCTCATACTGTGTAGGAAGGAAGAGGACAGTGGCTACTGAGGGGCAGCCACAGGTGCCACAGCCAGGGAGTGGCTCCTCCCAGAGATGGAGGGCAAGACTGGGTGTCATGGCTGGAATCGAGGAAAATGGGGTACCATCTCATACCCCCAAAAGGACTTAGTCCCTTTCTCAGTTGAGCACCTGGGGGGCGGGGATTCATGAACATTCCTCCTTGGGAATGATATTCAACTTCCACTACACAGAAGCATGAATCCCTTTGTGGCCAGACGACTACCCAGCTTGTTAGAAGGAGCTGGGCCTCCTGCAATGCTAGCACTTGCCTTGCTGTGGTACAGGGCCTCAGCCTCCATCTTGCTCCTCTGTGCGATCTCCTCATACTGGGACTGGACCTCACTGATGATGCTGTCCAGGTCCAGGCTGCGGTTGTTGTCCATGGACAGGATGACATTGGTGTCGGTGACATTCTGGTGCATCTGGGACAGCTCCTACAACACAGGTTTGCCATGACTTCCCTGTCCATGACCCAAGGCAGTGGAGCAGCATTTCACCTCTCATGTAAGAGAAAACCCTGACTCTCCGGCAAAGTCTGCCCCAGGAGACACTGAAAACCATCTAGAACCATTCTTTGTCTTCTGCCAAGGTTTTCTTGAGAACCATTGAGAAGTTCCCCTAGAAAGAAGCCAGTGGATGGCAAAGGCCTCACACTGCTTTCTGCTTCAGAAACTAAGAGTGTGCACATGGTCAGGAAGAAGAAAGGGTGCCACAGGTCTCATAAGTATGAGATACAGGGTGGGACAGGCTGCATCTCTTCCTAGGAGAGCCAGAACATTTGAGAATAGTTTGAGGGGAAGTTCTCCAGGGATTTCTTGACCTAAATCCTCAGGATTTGGAGTAACTGGGAGTTGAAGTTGGTAGTCCATAAGCCCCACTCCCATCAGCCAGGATGACTGTTCTTTTGAGTGAGAGTGAGAAGCCAAGGTCCCTTCTAGAGGCCTCTCCTTACCGTATCATAGAGAACTCTCAGGAATTCAATCTCCTGGCTCAGCACATCCACCTTGGACTGAAGCTCCACTTTAGTCATGTAGGCACCGTCCACGTCCTGTAGGAAAGGTCAGGTTGAAAGTCCCACTCCCTGAGCCCCTCTTACAGAGTTCCATGACTGGGTCACAGCTTCTCTAAGCCATCCGCTCCACTCTGTCCCCGTCACATGCTTTCCAATTGCCCAGACACCATATGTGCACTATGTCCCCAAGGAGCCTCATTTGTTATGGGCTCCATCGATGCCTCTGGTGGGATCTCTATGCTCACGATCACTGTGGTCACACACCCCATCCAACATCATCAGAACCTTGCGTGTGATAGTTTTGCCCACCATAGTCACCCTCCTGTTTAAGAAACAGTGTGAATATTATTCATCCTCACTCTCGAAGCCTCTCTGTCCATGCCCATCTGTCCAGGCCACCTCTTCTGAATTTCTCTGGCTTTGACACCAAAGCCGCTGAGGGTCCAGGCTGAAAACCCACACTTCTTGCCTTCTAGCTCAAACCTGTGTCAGCCAACCTCTTCAGGTCAGCATCTAAAGGGAAGGTCTGATCCTTGCTCAGTTACAAAAACAATAAAGTGTTTCCTGTGCTTGTACCTTACATGACCCAGTACAGGCTTTAGGAAGTTTCTGATGAGAAATGTTCTAGAAAATTCGCACTATGGCTCTGGAAGCTTTAACTAGAGACAGTTTGTCTCTCAGAGAGCTGGGTGCTAGCCTGTCACTGTCCCTGGTCACTGCTATTTTCTCTTAGAGTTGTCCCCTAATCTGTCTCTTTGGGCACCATGATCCTCAGAAGATTCCCCATCCTACCCCAGCCATGACATTCTCTTCCTTACCTTCTTGAGGGTCACAAAGTCATTCTCGGCACTTGTGCGCTTGTTGATCTCATCCTCATACCTGTTGAGACCCAAACACACAACTGTCAGATCATCCTTAAGATTCACTTTCTTCTTTTTCTTTTTCTTCCAGATTCGCCTAAAAGACCCTATTATCTGGGAATATTGAATGCTCTGTAATAGTAAAAATCGAACCTACAATCTCTATCTGGGAATACTGAATGCACTGCAACTGTAGAAACTGAACCTACAATCACCCCATAAGGTTACTTGTCTATAGGTTAACTCTCAAACAGGTAGAAAGCATGTTAGCTAAAGACCTAAACATCTCCAGAAACAATCAACAAGGAGGCAGAAGCTTCTCCCCCTCTATCACCACAAGTGCCGGGGAAAATGCGTGGCTTTCTGGGGGGAATGGTGAGTATTTATCTTTACTCCACATTTATAGTCACCTACTTTTTCTTAAAATCTTCCACAAGATCCTGCATGTTGCTCAGCTCTGACTCTTGTGATGTTCTCTCTGCATTGAGAGAATCCAAGTATTTCTTCAGTTGGGCAATGTAGGCCTGGAAAATGGGGTCCAGGTTGGTGCTGCGGGTGCTGACGTCCATCTGCTGCAGCAGCTCCCATTTGGTCTGTAGCACCTGGTTCTGCTGCTCCAGGAAGCGCACCTGTCACGGCCAGAAGGAGAACCATGAGTCCTGGGTTGTCCCCTAACTGTCGGCTCCACTCGCCGAGGCAGCTCGGCTCAGCTTTCTGGATAACTTTGTCCTCCCTGCTGGAAGGCTAGAGATGTGATGACCCGGGTTCCTCTCTCTATACCAGGGAAGCTTCAGTGTCTCCTCTGGCACCTCTGCAAACAACCTCCTTCCTACTTCACCGCCCACTATTTTGTTTGAAGCTGCTCCTAAGACTCCGGGCCATTTCGCTTCCCATCCTAGCTGAATTCCTGGCAACAGTCGTCTAAGTCTTGGGGAAAACCAAAAGCAGGCTCTCTGGCACAGTTCCTTAAAGCACCGAGTCTGAGCACCCTGCAGGGCAGGGCTCCTCCGCCCAGGTTTTAAGAACCTCGTAAATTCCTAAGCCAGGCTCCTCTGCCTTAAAGAGAAAACCCTATAACCCTTAAAGTGACACCAATAAAGACTTAATGGGCCACGAAACTGAGATTCCCTGCTTTTGCAGGCAGGGATTCCATTCGGTGACACAGCCCCAAGTTCACACTGCAGGTTCCGCAAGCTGGGATTTAGCAGAGAAGCAGCTTCCAGGGAAGCTAAGATGCTCAGATGAGGACAATTCCACAAAGCCTTTAGCTCCTGCAGTAACAGGGCCCATAACCCTTCTCTTTCCATCTTTCTTTAGGTTTTTCCAGAATTCTCCGTGAAAAAGGATGGTTTGGCTGAAACAATAAAGCCAAAGGCAACTACATCCTTGCTAAGGGCGGACTGTCCTGGAAGAGGTAGCCCACAAAGCCAGTTTCCAAGGCTGGCATGACTCCCCCAAAGCCTCCTGAAGGAAACTGCTCTCCTCCTCCGCTGCTTTTCAGATCTCACTGGAGGCAGAACATCCTCAGCACGGGCTGGAGTTGGCTTCTCGGCACTCACCTTGTCGATGAAGGAGGCAAACTTGTTGTTGAGCGTTTTGATCTGCTCCCGCTCCTGAGACTTCACGTTCTGAATCTCCGGGTCAACCTTCACGTTGAGAGGCTGCAGGAGGCTCTGGTTGATGGACACTTCGTGGATGCCTCCACCAGGGAATCCTCCGGGGCCAGCGCCCCCAGGCCCTCCAAAGCCTCCGAAGCCACCGCCGCCTCCGAAGCCACCGCCGCCTCCGAACCGGCTTCCACCGAAGCCTCCTCCGCCAAAACCGCCACCGCCGAACCCGCTGCCACCGCCGAAGCCGCTGCCACCTCCGAAGCCGCTGCCTCCGCCGAAGCCACCTCCTCTGCCGCCAAATCCACCGGCGCCCATGCCTCCTCCTCCTCCTCCAGCCACGCTCATGGAGATGCTCTTGGAGCCTCCCAGGCCCACCAGACTCTGGCTGCCAAAGCCACCGCCGCCGCAGCCCCTGCCACCGCCGCCACCGCCTCCGTGGCGGCTCAGGCAGGAGAAGCCGGAGCCAGAGCGCCGGCTGCCACCGCTCATCACGGCTGAGCCGCTGCTGAAGCTCCGGAACCCACTGCCACCTCCGCCGCCTCCTCTGACTCGCGATTTGCACGACATCTGACAGCTCATGATGCCTTTGCCCAGGGAGGAAAGCTGATGCTCTTGATTGAGAAGATTTGGAGCTGGAGACTCCACACTGCTGCCCGACACTCTCAGGGTCCCTTTTTATACCCGGAGTAGGTGTTGGTGTGCCTGGGTGTGGGCCCACTTAGGCATGGGTTTGGTCTGCCTGGAAGCTACTCCTGCTGAGTGATTATCAAGCTAATAGCCGTTCAAAATTTGCTAATCAGCTCCATCCCAAAACTTGCTACGATTGCACACTTCTCCAGTTTATCTGGGCATCTGTCACGCAATTTGATTTTTGTAAAATCATCAGAAGAGAAGATCAGGATGGAGGTTTCTCAATCTGAAGAAGGGCCTTCTGCAGAATGCTGTTTCTCTGCTCTGGACCGACCCGAGGGATGCCAGCTATCACTGGGCCTGTGCAGGCTCGCCACTTCGGCTGATGAAAGAGCTGACAGCTTTGGAGACTGGGGGAGCCCCTCAGTACCACACTCAGAGCCTGCCTCACTTTTCCCTCAGCTCTGGTAAGCATTTCCAGTGCATTCATGGAGCACAGATCAATGTGGTGAAGCAGGCATCCTTCTAAAGAAAGAAGTTGGCCTGGGAAACTACAAAAGAGTGGTCGTTCTTCATGACTGCCACTCAATGCCTCTTTTGCAAACCACAGCACCCAAAAGGAGAGAGAGAACAAAAGGGAATGCCCTGCCACAAGGGTGGGGTGGGAAGGGGGGGTCAGGGGGGTGGGAGGGATGCTGGGAGCATTGGAGGTGAGGAATGGGCACTGGTGGAGGGATGGGTACTCAATCATTGTATAACTGAAACACAAGCACAAAACTTTGTAAGTCATTGAAACCCCAGCACAAAACTTTGTAAGTCATTGAAACCCCAGCACAAAAAAATGTAAATCTACAATTATGGTGTTTCACTGACAAAATTTTTTTTTAAAATGTAAATGATGGAGAATGGGCACTGGTGGAGGGATGGGTACTGAATCATTGTGTAACTGAAACCCAAGTCCAAAAGTCTACAACTGTACCTCATGGTGTTTCACTAATAAAATTTTTTTAAAAATTGTAAGTCTACAACTCTACCTCATGGTGTTTCACTAATGTAAAAAATTATCTTAGAGTGACCACAATTACTGAGTAAATATTTGCTTAAAAAAAAAGAGTGGTCGTTCTTTAAAGAATCTTGGCTCTTTCCTTCACACACTGACAAGAAATACTCCAGGAAGAGAAATTTCTTTCCTATATTCAGAAGTTCTAACCATCCATTTTTCTATTATCTTCCACATGAAAACCCAGAGGGTGCAGAGCTTAAGGCAAGTTCCTGTATCTGCCTTGGTCTGGGCACCCAACAGAAAATGTGCCAAAGTTCCAGGATCCAGTGCTTATGGATTTTATCTGTTAGGAATTGTTCATTGTCCAGTCATTCTGCTAAACAATATAGAAGTGGGAACTTCATGATAGATCTAAGAGATAGGGGAATATCAAAAGACTCTCGATTCATCCATGCCAGAGCTCAGTCAAGCCTCTTCCTTTGCCAGTGGAGTCCTTGACACCAAAGGGACACTGTAGGCCTTTGGAGGCATTGTTGGCCTCCCGTTAAATCTATCTTGTAGATAGTTGTTCACCTGTGGTGTCACCCTATTTCTACAGGGGTGTGTGTGTGGGGGGGGGGGGGAGCTGTGCCAAGCATGCCACCAATGCTCCAAAGGTGCCTTCAGAGCTTCTCTCCTACCCTCAAAATCCCCTCCATCTCCATATCAGCACTGTAAAAATAATAGAAAAGGATAATAGAAAAATGGATGGTTAGAACTTCTGGATACAGGAAAGAAATTTCTCTTCCCGGGGTATTTCTGGTCAGTGTGTGAAGGAAAGTGCCAAGATTCTTTACTGATTCTTGAACTGATAGTTGGAAGCTCAGGTCTGAGTCCCATTTAAGTCAATGACTAGTTCTGGTGACTCTAAGCTCTGTAGTAGGTATCCAACAGAAAATCAATAGCAAGAACCTTACCAGATGCCTGATATAAGTACTGAGTGTCACTGAGATGAAACTAAGGTTTCTTTTTTTTCTTTTCACGTACTGTGACCATGTACTTCTAATAAGCTCCAGAATTACAGAACCAGACTTTCTCAGATTCTGGAAGAACACATAAAATAAGGTGAAAGATTTATTTTAGGTTTTCAGCCCGTTTCTTTACACTTCAGTCCAATGACATGGATTTACTCTAAGTGTCCCTGAGCCACAGTTTTCTTCTCTATAAAAAGGAATGAACATGGATGTTGTAAAAGTTTAACAAGATAAAGAGACAGATTCTTCACTAACAGCAGAATCTCATTACACAGACCTTTCTGACCTTGCCTCACTCCATTCCAAGTCTCCAATTCTGCATCACAGCAAAGAGTCTGGGTGCTAGAAAGGGTGAAGAACAGGGAGCTGAGCTATGCAAAATGTTTGGTTTGCAATGAGAGAATGCTGAAAGAGGCAAACCCATGTGTCTCCTTGATTTTTTTCCCCAACCTGGGTTATATAATCATAATCTTGCCAATAAATCATAGAGCTAGGAGCTTTGGAGAGAACCTCAATCCAGAGTCAAATGTGTCATTATCTATGGATATCTGAACAACGCCCTAATTGTCCATTACTGCACCGTGACTGTGCCGAGGCCATGCCAGCTTGGGGGTGGAGGTGGGGGCAATCTGGGTCCCTCAGCAAAGATGAGCAGGAACTTTTAGCATTTACTGAACTCTGGCTGGTGCCCAGAGACTATCAGGTGCTTCTTCCGAGGCTCACAGGGGCTCTCTTTCCCCAGTTTCCCCAGTAGGTACCTTCTCCCCCTCTTCAGATCCATTGGCTTGTTATTGAAAGTCGAGTTAAACAGGGAGAGCCCTCCTCTTCTCTAGGAGGGTAGAATTAATGGCACTCAGTTCTTACATCATGTACTTTATTTCCACATTTTTTAGCTTGTCCTTTTTCATAATCTCAATGTGTCGTCTAAATAACCAGTTTCATGTTCTTGACAGGAATGAAAGGACTGTCAAGACTTTTTCCCAGCTATGACTTTGGTGATAACTTCCACAGAGTTCCTCAGTTTCTTTTCTTTTTCTTTTTTATTGAATCACCATGAGATACAGTTACAAAGCTTTCATGACTGAGTTTCAGTCATACAATGTCCCAACACCCATTCCCTCCACCAGTATACATTTCCCACCACCAATATATCCCTCCTGCCACTCCCCCCACCCAGCCTCACTCTATGGCAAGTGTTCTCTCTCTCTATCTCTCTTCCTCCCTCCATCTCTCTCCCCCTCTCCCTCTCCCCCCTCTCTCCATCTCTCTCTTCCTCTCTCTCCCTCTATCTATCTCTCTCCCTCCATCACTCTTTTTCCCTCCCTTCCTTTCTGTCCCTCTCTCCCTCCCTCCCTCCCTCCCTCCCTCCCTCTGTCCCCCTCTCCCTATCCTCCCCCTCTTTCTCTCCTTTTGAGCACGATGGTTTGCAATACAGATACTGTGTGGCCATCATGTTTGATCCTTTGCCCACTTTCAGCACACATCTCTCATCCAGAGCCATCACTTCCAACCAGCAATGTCATGATGGTCTCTTCTCTGTCCCAACTGCCCTCTGCCCCAAGTCCTTGAGGCAGGCTTCCAACCATGAAGTATTCAGTTTCTTCATCTATAAATTGGGAACGTCAGCTTGGATCCCCACAATCCCATAGGTTATTATTACTATTGGTGTGGTTGGTAAGCTCTGCCGTGCAAAGATGTCATAGAAAAAAATCCTTTCAGAGCAAGTCCAGGCTCCCAAATATCCCAAATGCTTTTTTTCTGTAGATTTTCAAGAGCACATTCTTTGCCTGTATAGCAGAAAAGCCTGCCTCAAGAGTAAGCAAAAGCGGGTGAACTGTTTCACCAGTGGATGACAACATCAGCTTCTCCAGGCCAAGATGAATCCCACAGGGCCCCCTTCCTCTCTTACAGTCCTCCCCAGAGTGCAGTGACCCTGTCCTGACATATGGCGTTCAGAGCCAGCACCAAGATTATCTTCACCCCCAAACCTTCATACCATCGATGCTGCTTGAAACCATTATTCAGGAAATGAGTCTACAATATCATTCTCATGTCTAGGGCATTGGGTCGGAACTATAGGTTTTCCTGCTGTGGAGATGGGATGGACACAATGCTACCATCTTCCCAGTCTTTCACCTTCCTATTCCCTAAAGCTCCCACCTCCACATTTTTCTGCCTCTGTCCTATCCCACCCATCACCACCACAGCCCCCCATCCACAAGCCAGGGAGGTTACTCTCCTTAAAAAAAAAAAAACCCTGAAGGGAAAGCAGAGATTCTGAGCCCTCTCGAAGCTCTCTACTTCTCAATGCCTATGTGCTGATAACCAAAACAAAAACAAACCCTCATTTCCAGCCCCTGCCACTTAGTTCAGAACATCAGGTCCAGGAAGAAGCTCAGAGAACAGGGAGGCTGTTGGCCGCCCAGCCTGCTCAGACCCTGTTCAACAGCAATGCCCAGAGCCAGCTCAGGCGGGCCCTGCACACCCCATCAGAGGACAGACACAGTGGCAGCAGCGAGAGAGGCGAGGCAGCAACCCTGGTGGAAGGTGGGACCAGAGGCCAACGAGCTCCCAGCAGGAGCCACTTGCTCAATCTCTCCTTAGGGCATTTTTTTGTAAGTCGCTTTTGAAAGCTGCTTGCTCAGTCTGCCACCCAACCCCCCACCCAGCAGCCCCTCCTTTCCTACCTCATAAACTGCCCCTTTTAAATTATTTTCAATCAACTCCATCCCTCCTTTCCTTCCTTCCTTCCTTCCTTCCTTCCTTCCTTCCTTCCTTCCTTCCTTCCTTCCTCTCTCTCTCTCTTTCTTTCTTTCTTTCTTTCTCTTTTTCTCTCTCTCCTCTCTCTCCTCTCTTTTTTCCTTCCTTCCTTCCTTCCTTCCTTCTTTCCTCCCTCCCTCCGCCCTCCCTCCCTCTCTCCCTCCTTCCCTCCC